GTGACACTATTTCGTTTATGGACGAAAGCAGTAACCATTGTGTTGTAAAGGAAAAACTTAGTAAGAGGAACTGAGATTGCAGTTCTATCAAGTGTTGTGAAGGTAAAAAAATATATATAAACATCTCTGAAAAAAGCCATTTTCAGACTTTTTCTATAGTTACCAATATAAATGATTCCTCTCAACAGTCTGCAGTTCTCAGTAAAAGGACGTCATTGCAATAAAAAGCTTTCGAGCTGATGTATTGAGTGATTCTTAGAAAAAGCGAAGGAAAAAAAAAAGCTATTGAGATTCTGCATGGAAGAGCCAAACACTGTTTACCGCGTGTTGCCCACGGTGAGCCCTGTGGGCGCAACACACAGATGACACTGAGAATAAATGATTCCTTCTTGTGATCAAAAGACAATCTTTCCAAATCTGTTAGACTCGCTCCTCATTCGGACGTTTTCTGCTGAATAAAACACTGATCTGTTTAGGAACATTTCAGCTTCAAGAGGATCTTTTCGGAGCATTTGGATGCTATTTTTACTCTTTGTAAGTGAGATTTTTTTTTACTCCTTTTTATGTGTATAAACAGCAGAAGTGCAGTTGCAGTACAGATAACCTCTGTTTAGTGATGATGCAAACCTTCAACTTCATTAGTTTAATCACTTCACCACTGTTAGGAAACATGTTACCTTTAAGGTGACATGAGCTCCCACAGGTAGATGATGTATTCATCGCTGCTTCAAGCCTGTAAATGACAGAATCTGGGCCAAGAGTTTAAAACTCAGCTTAGCTGAATCACCTAGATGAGCTCTCAATTCACAGGAAAATGTAACTCACAAACATAATGGCGTTGCAGAGAAACAGCATTTTTTTTTTTTGTGCTCATTGATTATGTATGAGCATCTGGTGAATGTGGATGTGTTATCTGATCACAGTGCTCCCCCCCTGAGAGATGCCTGATGTGTTTCCCTGTGCACAAGATAAACAAGCAGACTTGCAGAGCGCAGAGTCACGCTCCACACCCACATCTACCCCTACGGTGGAGGCAAGCGCAACTCCAGACTGAAGTGAAAATATGCAGGCTGTTTGTAAAGCATGAAACAATGAGGAAAGTACGGCAGGGTTTCCGCTGGTCACTGATGATTTTTCTTTAGGCAATAAAAAGATAACCTGTGATTGTTCTCTTGCTTTATGAAAGGTGTTCTCTTGCTTTATAAAACACTGCAGGAACAATGAGATGCGTCCTTTTACTTGTAGGTGACAAGAACAGGAAAAGCTTGTTCTAGCGCAGACATTTCGCACTTCACAAGAAATCCAATGCCGTCTTCAGGTCTCTCACTGCAGAATTTGTCAGTGTCTGAACCACCTGCACTTCAACTTTCTGACCAACGACACCATCGCTGTCAGATGCCACACAGTAAGAAGTTCTGCCAAGAAAACGTGTGAAAATGCATGGAAAGATAGAATCTCATTTTGATCTTGCATCTCAGGCAGAGAGATTTAATTATGCTTTTACATTCATTCATGTTCAGACCTCAGAAGTACGATTTCTGTTAAAAAGATGTTTTCTAATCTCAGAGATTCCTATCAGGACTCCTGAGGCCTTAAGATTGTCCAACATCACTGAAACCAACTTGTCATACAGTAAAGGAAATGTGAGATTGTCATTATATTTAGATGCACATTTGAAGTCTCAATAGATTTTTATGTGTCTAAGATGTGGAACATTGAATTTTATTGTGTTTAATAACTAGGGGTACAGAAATGTACCAGCCACCAAATTATTTAGTGTCAGATTTCTTAAGTTTGGGAAATCTGTGATCAGTTGATACTTACATGTGAAGCCGATCTGATCCATCGACCTTTTCTACATCATCAAAGGTCTAAAAATCAACCACAGTGCTCTTTTGCTCAGCTGTGAGAGAGGTTTGACTGACAGATCGGCCCACCACTCATGTCTGCATGTTGGCGGTTAACAATCATCGCCCCACTGTTGCCAACTCAGCAACTTTCTTGCCATATTTAGTGGCATTTTCAGACAAAAAAAAACAAAACTCAGAATCAGACAAAATCAAAATCGGCAGGTCAGGCTTTTTAAAAACCTGCAATTGTTCAGAAAACTGCAATCAGTGCACCTGTTGGTAACTTTTTAAAGTTAAAGATTTTAGTCAAACATGACACCTAATTATTTGAATTCACAGACCTTCTGTAGCTTTTATCCTACTATCAATATATTGAGACGAAAACATAATAAAGGAATTTTACTCAGTTGTCAAATATCTAATCAAACATGTAAGCATAATTGTATTGTTCTAAAATAATATGCACAAAACTGGGGGAAAAGCATCTTAATAATTTTCTTTTGGAAAAGTCTAAGTGTCTTCCTGGCTTTTTGTTTCCAGTTTAACGGCTTTGCTCCGATGTCTTCCCCCACATGACAACTGCCATCCTGTTTACTGCCACAACCCGCCAGATGCCACTCATACATTTACTCTTGGATAAACAACCTATTTGCATACCATTTTACAGTGCAAACGATTGAGTATAAAATGGTACCGTGTAGTCGCAGTAATGAAATTAATGTGGCAGAGAAACATTATGTTGTGACATAAAAATGTGCTGTATGAAGTAAAGTCCATGAAGCATGAGCTACTCACAGCTCAACTCAAGGATGGTTCCTATATGAGTCTGTTTATATTGAATAATGAAAATGCTTTAGAAATATCAGGAAGTAGAAGATTCATTTAATGTTTGTCATACTGATTATGCACATAATTATTAATCTACAAAGAACCAGTTCATTTTTAGTCTGTATCCAGATGCTGTTTGTTATTAGTCCACTATTTTATAGAAAGTTTCTGAAACAGGCAATATGGCTCTTCACTCAAGATGTCTAATATCTACTCCAACAGGCAAAATGTTTAGTTTGCCTTGAGTGTATGGCTATGATATGGGCTCCCAATTTGAAATGGCATTTTAAGAGACATTTTCTTCAATTCTGAGTTTTAAAAAAAATAAAAATAAACAAACAAATAATTATCAAGCTATAAACTAACCTTAAATTCATTAAGAAATATACATTTGTGGCCCTTGAATATTTATATTTGAGTACCATTATTCTCTACTGATACTTTATACTTATGGAATATTTTTTAAACTGTTTGATAATTACATTTCTTGTCACATTCTCAGTAGCAGAATGGAGGATATGATACTGTTGCATGAACAGTTTCTGTTTTTCTATTTCACTGCACAGTTTAAATGTTGTCTAGTCTTCATGCATGCAACACAATTTCATCCAAAAAAGCAATTTGATCACATTAAATTAAATCTTTAACTCCATCGTTATGTGCTATTCCTCTAAGTGAAAAATGATCTGTGATTATTCTTCCCACATCGTTTATCTGAGTCACTTTAACACTTAAGCTGGATGGAGGTCATTTTGTACTGTCAACAAGTTGCATAAACAATTTTTTTTCTGCTATTCTCTGCTGTATGACTAATTAGCACTGGATGTCCTCAGATGTGTAATGTCTGGAAAATTGCCTCTCATTCTGATAGCCATAATCAAGGCAGCGCCAGACCCAGAACGAGCCAGACAACACCGTGACTTATGTCGGCTCGGAGGCGCAATAATTAGCCAAATCTGGAGATGCAGAGGAAGGTCAAAGGCTTTGATTTCAAGAAAGAAGAAGGAGAAGAGAAGTTAGTTAACCTTCCAGCTAGGAGGTTATCAGCCACCAGGGGATTTTATGCTGGAGTTGCTTATACTTTCACATTGTGCCCTCTTCGAACTTCCTTTAAAAAGGGAAGAAAACCTTAAGACTCACAAGCAAGGCTTTACTATTTGATGTTTTGTGATTTAACCATCCGAGATAAAATATGAGCTGTTGTTGATGCATTCTGCAGGCTGAAAGAGCTCTGGATATTGAACAGTTTCACCAAGCACTCTGCAGTCAAAGAAATATGATGGCTGCTTTAGATATATGAAAAAAAAGTGTTTACTGTTCATTCAAAGAATTTATTATTTAGGAGTTATAATATAAAGTTTTACCTTATGTTCATATTTGTAATGATACACGTTCCTGCATTCCTACACTTAACTTTTTAGTGAAGGAGTTTACAATTAAAGAAAAGAAGTATCAAATCCCCTTCAGGTGTAGTGATGAAAATGTTATCTCAAAAAATGCATTAAAATAAGTTTGCCATTGAGTTAAATAAGTATATGAACCCCTCATCAAAGCATGGCTTGAAACTCAGTGGTTTAACCTCTATTGACAAACACAGCACTAAGACATTTTCTGTAGCTGGTAAAAAGGTTTGTGATTATTTCAGGAGAGATTTTGACCCACTCCTCTTTACAGAAACTCCTTTAGGTTTCCTGCCAGCTATTCGGTAACCAGACAAATCATATTGCTCTTAACGGCATGCCAAATACAGTCATACTGGATGACTGATCCATGAAAGTTACGATGAGTTTCACATCTTTGTTGATGTGAGGTTGCACACATCAAAAAGTCGAATACTTCCACCAATCTGACTGACAGGGATGATTGTGTTCTATAGATCACTCTTAGCATTCCTCCAAACATAAACTGATACAAAACAAACAAACTGTGTCTTACCAGAAGATTTTCTCCCAAGCTTTCTCTCAAACATTTAGATGTTCACTGGGAAACCTAAGCTGGAGATGGGAATGTACTCTATGTGCAGCTTCTGTTGCAATACCTCAGCTATTTGGCATGATATTTAGGACACTTGTGTCATTCAGACGCATATCAAGTTGTGGTCAAAAATGATACATAGATCAATCTAGATGCAATTATATATATATATATATATATATATATATATATATATATATATATATATATATATATATATATATATATATTTGTGGGACCAATATTCTAGTTGGATTGTATAGGATGTAGAATTTATTTTTGTTTATTTTAGATATTTTCATTGATATTGTGTCTTGATATTGTAAATAAAATGAGATAACAAAAATGTGGAGACTATGTTTTTATTTGAAATTGAGCAAACTTTGAAAATCAGCAATAGATTAGATCCTGATTTCCCCCAAATGTTTTCTAACATGCTAACATGATGGTGTACTTCACCATCAAAAAGCTTAAGTCAAGACTTTGAATGATAACATATGTAGAAAAAGTTAATAAATACATTGACTGTATCATATCAAGTTTTACTGATAAAACTTGATATTTAATCAGCATGTTTTGAACCAAAATCACATGATGAACTGTGCCACCCCATCTGTTTACTGTGCTAACTGTCGACAAGTCACCCAAACATATCTCAAAACCATGTCTAAATAGAATAGCGTCTGTAGAAATATAGAAAATAGTGCCAAAATTTAAAAGGATCTAAGCCATCATAAATGTTTTTTTCATTTACCCACCATTTACCCAAAAGCTTTGAAACCACTGAAATCTGGAAAAGTGTTCAATTTACACATAAAACAACCACAAAAAAGTCAAAACCATCAAAACGTTTAAGGTTTCAGCTCTATTTTGAACACATCACTAACCAAAAGTTTAATGATGTCTTTTGAATGCTATTTGTACAATTTGAAAGTCTTGATTTTGAAAAACAAGGTAAAAATTATAAAGAGCTGCTTCATTCAAAATAAATACTGTTATTGATAAATGTTTCCGTCAAATAAGTAAATGTTCCCATGTAAAAAAACAAAACAAAACAAAACAGATAAACAAAAGTGAATACAAATAAAAACATTCTTATTGGGGAGCTTATTCTGTCAATCAATTTTATTTCTTATTCTATTTACTTATTTCACCTTAATAAGACCAATGACACAGATAACAACATAAAATAAAAAATAACCTAAATAATAACGGAGTTAAAACAATAAAAGTTCATGACATAAAGTAAAGTAGTTTAACAAAAAAACTGTGGCAAAATAAAATGTCATTATTACTGAATTTATTATTTGAATAAACAAATTTAAATAAGTAATGAAATAAATTAATTAATTCAAGCTGACTGACAAAATAAACTCCATTAAAGAATATAAATATATTCTTTAATGGAGTTAAAGAATATATTAACTATATTAACTAAGTATATTATATAGAATATATAATATACTTAGCTTTCATTTTATGACAATACTAATGACTATTAGCAAGACACAACAATAATACTGTATTCCTCTCCATTTTACAGCCTGTGGACTCATATTCTAAAAGAACACGCTCAGAAACCGAGGATGTACATTAATGCCACTGGATTATTGAGATACAATAAACAGAAATCAAACTGTTCATTTGTGCAAAATTCACTATATTTTTTTGTGTGGCAGCCGTTTTTTGTGGCTGCAAGTAGCTCAGTCACGTATTCCAAATCACAATTCCCAGTTCATTGGGCGTGTCAGTTAATTTTCTGAAATGGAACTCAGATATATTTATAATATATTTATATATAATCTAAATTATATCCACCATTAATAAATGTGCAGTGGTTGCTTACAATATCTTTATATTAACAATCAGTATAGTACCCCAATGCGTTCACCATATCTTTATTGTTTTTCTTTAGGTTTCTTGCATAAAGAAACCTAAACGCCCGGAGCTGCAAATGAACTGATTTAGTAAACTTAATGAATCAGTCACCCACCTCACTCCATGTGCAGTTTCCAGCAATTATGGCAAGTTGATTTTCTTCTTATTTAAAACAAAATACAATTTGATTCGAGTTGATTTTTTGTTTCCTACAATAAGATTGTGTGATGTGTGTCCTCAGACTGGTTTAATTAAGTTTTATTTACTTGTGGACACTGAGTCACAGTGGGGTACGCATTTATGAGCTGTGAGTTTTATGGTATGTCATAACCACTCAGGGTTTCATTTTCACACTGTTAAAAAAACACACACAATGTGTTGAAACAAATGATGAGCCATTAGGATCCATTTCATGCTAGCCAGCTATTTAAGCTAATGTTAGCATAAACACAGCCTTCGTATGCTATTTGTTTTAGATTGCAAGGTTATGATCATGAAATAAGTGACACATGCAGAGTTTTAAGCAATAGCTAAACCTATTTTCTGAAGTAAAGCTACAAATGCCAGAACCTTTGTATTGTGCATGAATTTTAAACGTAACACTAGCAGACATAGCCTTGCGCTTAGCCATTCAGCGCAAATGTTAGCCCTTCACACAGGCCAGTGAGTAGATGAGACCAAACTGATGGAGCACATTGAATCATGTTCATCACTAGTTTGTAATTAAACCAACAATTTGCCAATAAAGTTCTGGTTTCTCTTTGTGTAGCTCCTAAATAGTCATGAGTTTAACTAGCAATGGCTACATATCCTGAGTTAGGCTGTAGCTAATGGCTAAATACAAAAACAAACAACAAAACAAAACAAAGAAAGCCAGGTAATATAAAAAACAACTGCAAATAAATTATACACTAGTTTATAGTGTAAATTATGCGCCGCAATAATCTAAATTTTTATAGTAAATTATTATTACAAAATTACAAAATCCTTTCTTATTCAATACTTTGTCATGTTCCTTTTTTTCTATGTTGTGCCTGGTAAAGCAGTGGTTTGGGGGAAGATTTAGCAAATAGTGATTTCTATTTATTTATTCATCCCTTTGTTGCTTTTTTAGTTAGAAAAACATACAGCAGTTTATGAAGATCAGAGAACATGTGATGTAACTGTGTAGAAATAAAACAACAAGCACATACAGATAAGTGTTAGAAGTCTGTGGGGGGCACAGATGGTGATCTATCAAAACTGACTCACAGTTTGAGCGGATGGATGGCTTATTGGCATCGTCCTATTTGTAGCAATAGACAGCTTAGTAAAGAAATTGCATTAAGTGAACAGTAAAGAACAAAAACTGCAGGGGGGAATCTAGGTCACAGTAGTCTTTATTTCTGTGCAATGCCCTTTAAGCCTGTTTGAGATTTTTTGAGTTTCTATCAGCGGTCAGCGTTCATTTTGCGCAGTTTTGGGGGTAGATTGTCCTCTGGCCGACTCCCCATCGAGGGGAATGGGACTGATACTGGTGTTACAGTGCCGATGGTGCTAATTGCTGTTGGCTGTCTGTGTTTCACCAGATCCCCCTCGTCAGCATCAAGATCAAGGGACAGCAGCTTGACTTGCTCCTCAGGCTGTCCATGCTTCACAGCTGGGATGGAGCTGGACCTAAACCGCTGGATGCTGAGCGAAAGGTCTCCGGTGCTGGAGGCCTTACCGCCGGGCAAGGCCGTCCCCGTCTTCAGCGCTCTCCACAGGTGCTCCTCCTTGGTGGAGCTCATTCGCTGGAGCTTGTTGGGCAGCCTGGAGGCCTGATCCTCCGGGTGCTCCGCATGGTCGGCCGAGAGAAGCCTTTCCCGTCGGCCCACTCTGTTGCCCAGCAGAGGTGAGGGGAGAGTGGGAGCGATGGCTACGGGATTCGGGGATGTCACAGAGGACTTCTCCTCCTGCTCTTTGACACTGTAGGGAGGCGTGGGAACCTCAAAGGTGTTGTGGAACTGGGAGTAGTCCACTCTGAAGAATCCTTCTTCTAGAGACATGACAGGAAGGAATCGATGGCCCCACAGGACTTCATCCTCTGTGTAAGATGTTCTCGCTTGGCATGTCATTCCTACAAAAAGAAGTTACAGAGCAAGGGACGTTTTCAAAGGTAAACAAGAAAAGATGAAAGTACAGAGAAGAGCCCAAGAAAAGTATATAAGTAGTGAGAGCAAAAAACGAAGGGAAATGAATAGTAGTGAACTGCTTCAGGGAGGAGACATGAAAAATACAGACATGATGGATAAAAGCTCTTGCTACTGAATAATTAAAACCATGAAATTAAACATTCTGTTCAATATTTCATACAGCTGAGAAAGGAATCTGTGCCACAGGCTAAATACGATGAAACAAAAGACTGGGCACCAGGAACGGTTATCCAAATGTTATAGCAAAGAAGACAGAAATGTGAAAGTAAGATTTTGCGCTCACCGGTGGTTTCGACAATGCCCTCTAGAATAACTACTATCTCAAACTGCTCGTTCATGAGCGAGCGCTGGGAGAGATCAAAGAACGGGCTGTTGGTGTTGATCTCGTGGCAGATGGTGAGAGGTGACACCAAGAAAAGCTGGTCGGCCCCCGTGCCAAAACCCACGTCCAGCTCGCACTGGTCCAGAGGCAGAAACTCTCCCTCTGGGGTCTGTCTGGACTGGAAGCACAAATGATTCACACGTTTGGGAGTAGAATTGACATTTTTGTTTGCCAAGAAATTTTTTTTTATGGATTATTCAGACAACAGTAAATGTCACCAGAAATTAACTGATTGAACACAGTTTGGGAAAGAAGTAGACACTCATTATGAACATAAATATTGCCACAACTTTCGTATAAATTTTTGCTTTCCAAATTTCCAAATTATTTTTAGTTGAACTAGACAAAAATTTAGCTGCATAGGCCACCATGACATAAGTATTCTTTTATTTTATTTTTTTTCAAAAGGAAGGTAACAATAAAACAAAAAAAGAACTGGTTAAAAGGCCGCAATTGATTTGACGTTTATGCTAATCATAAGACAAGAACTTAACTATCGGCTCTATGCTACACCAGCCAAATTCATGTTTTATGAAAAGGGTGAATGTTGATAGAATCCACGGAAAATCCCAATGTGAAGCTCAAACCGAAACATTAAGTAAAATTTCTCCTGTCAGAATTATTCTACATCATTGTTTTACATAAAGCATTACTTATTTCAGTGTTTGCACACTGAAATAAGTGTGCAAACACTGAAAAACACTATTTGTGGATTTTTCTGTGGAATGTAACGCCAAATTATTCAAGGAAACTTTTTTTATTTAGGGTTATTTTTGTGCAGCATATCTAACATTCAGAAGAAAATGCAGCTTGGGAAGCAGAAATACCAAAGCAAAATGCTTTTTGACACGCTATTGGATGCTTTTTGCCAAGCAGCCGATCCAGAAGTTCCATTTATTTTCCTTTGCACTGATTGGCTGGACCCCAGAGAGAAGAAAGACTACGGATGTTAGCTCCCGCTAAGATCTGTGCCAGCATCTAACGGTCTCCTGCACAAGCTTCTGATTTACTACAGTGATTTAAGTAACATCACTTTAAGTCCTAATGAGACCTCACAGATGAGGGGAATACATAAGAGGCCTAAAAAATGGTTGAATGAGCTCTTTGAAAATTCAAAATTCAAGGCACTTCCTTTGGTTTCTTTGTTTTATAACCATGTGGTTGACAGCTATTCACAATTCAAGGCTATTCTGATAGACAATGTCTGGTAAACAACAGCACTTTAGGGGACAGTTTTCAATCAAAGCTACTTCCAACTGTTCTGTTGCTTGCCTGTATTTTATTCTATTTATTCATATTTTTACCTTAAACTGACAGGTGAGGAGGAAAGCATGTAATTGCTATGAAAAGGTAATTTCCTTCTGCATTTAGGGACAGAGACAAATTGTGCAGGAAGTTATTTTATTGTTCAGTAGCAGACGGCATGACGCCAATAAACGTAAAGACGCTGCTGCTGTCTGGGATTGTTTCCATCACAACCCTGTTACTGAAGAGGAGGATGAAAATGAAGAGAAAAAGACAGATTTTCCCTGCACTCGGTTAGCTTTAACAGGACAACATCCATGAATCGAGAAGCATCACATTTAATCTGGGGTTTCAATGGACAAGGCAACAAAATTATTTTTGTTGAAAGAAGTGGATGCGACACTCGTTTAACAATTCATCGAGGAGCCAGAGCAGCAGTAAAGCTTTGCCGTTGCTGATTGACAGTTTTGCAGTGTTAATAAAGGTGTGAAAACATTAGTCTTCCTTGTTTTCCATCTCTCTCAAACATTAGACCACATTATAAGCCTATGTTGTGACTTCAGTGACAAATTATCTTGTCAAAGAAGATATTCTGATTAAATGACAGAAGTTTGAGACAGTAAACTGGGCAATTACGTCTATGTACTGCTAATTCATGCCATGAGTTAAAAATACATAGACAGCAAGATGTGTGTTGTTTATGTATTTCATGTATCTGTATCTGTCCATCCAGTTCATTCAACCAACCAACCCGCCGTTGGACCAACCAATCATCTGTCCGTTCCTCCATCCATCTATCCAACCAACCAACAAACAGTTTTAAAATTGTCAGCAGTAGATTTATTCTGAACTCATATAATTGTACTAATAACTGAGACCTCTGCTGTTACTGGCTAATTTGAGTCCGTAATAGTGCGAGATTAGCTACTTGTCTAGCATGAAGAACCTCTTCCTGTTGCCTAATGTTAACTTTATTTGTCTTTCTGGCTTCCTTGGTAAGTAGTCGCTTGGTCCACAGATGGCAAACAGGCTGTCATTTGTATTCACAGTGATGTTGAGGACAGAAGGGTGTGACATTTCACGGGAAGACGTCTGTGCCCACAGATTTCTGGCTCGCCTTCATGACGGAAAGTGTCACCCATCATGCAGCATCAGTGTTTATTTCTTCAGTAATGCGCAGACATGCAGCCGATGTTACATGTCCACTAAAATTAGATCAGAAACTCACAGAGCAATACCGGCAGCTGCTGAACATGATTAATGCAAGGCTAAGAAAAGCTAGAAAAAGCCACAAGAATCAATGATCTGATTGTGTATCAATCCCCAAGGTGTGTTATTTTAGGAAATATAGGATGTGGCTCAAATTTGGTATCTCTGACAGTACAGAGGGAAAATATTCCAGGCTCGGTTTTTGGATGCAGAACAACGCTATCCTTCTTAAAACTGACAGGCAGTCACATACAAGCCCAGTCTGGAGTATTTAATGTGTAAATCTTCCACTCTGAGCAAAATCTCCAAAGAGAAAATCTGTGAGTGAGTGTGAAGTCTTTGGCTACTGTGAAGTTTCTAAATTCATTAATCTCTGGAGCTCGGCTTGCTTTAAAATGTAGTCTTTAAAATCTACGTTAAATGTCTCCAAGTAATTGATAAGTTTCAGAAAAAATTTTTAGGTCACTAGATTAGGCACTGTACAGTTTCAGTTGATATTAAATCAGCGTAATTTTCTTTTTCAGCTTTATGTCAGTTATGATTACCATGATACTTAATATCTTCTGAATCCTATAGCAAAGAAAGATATTTTCATAATTTAAAAAAAATGTCCTCAAATTTAGACGTTTTCTTTTATCAAAATATGTATGCCTTTAAATTATTTAGGAAAGCACAGATGATGTTGTCTTTGGGAGATTCTAATGTTTAATCCACAATATTTGAAAATATTTGAGGATGATTTTTGGATGCTCTTTTTTTATTTTTCATAAAGATAATCAACCATACAAAATAAAAGCAAACATTCTTCCAGACCCCATCCTGCAGCTTCTTCTGTTCTCCAGAGCTCTCATGCCATGCTTAACATAATTCTTTCAACTAAAAGTGAGATGAATACAACCAGAAAAAACAACAGAGCACGCCCATGCCCGTAAGGGGTTGCAGTGTCTTTTCTGGGACACATGATGTCATTTGTAGAGTTTGGAAGGAAAAGCATAAATCACTAATCAGGTTTACAAAACATTGTCTGAAGAAATTAGCAAAACTCTGGAAAAATGCCCTTTAGAAGATGAAAAGACATGTCTGGCCATGTTTCTAGTCAGCAAGAAATGTCCAAAGTGTGCCAAATAATTCTAAAAGCAAATATGAGGCTATCTGTCCATCTGCTAAAGCTTGGCTGTAATTTGATAATCCAACAGGACAATAATAAAAACAAAAATTATACTTATTTTACAGTGGCCTAGTCAATGTCTGGAGCTCAGACATTGACTAGGCCATTGCCTAGGGGATGGGGAGCTGTATGTAGATGCTTGCAAACCGCAATGAACTTAAGCACTGTGCTCAAGCGTTTCAGTTTTGACGTTTATCGTTGTTCAATACATGTGCTCAATAATTCAAGAAAAACCTCAGACACTGTCATCGCTTTTTACAGTGACTGACTGAATGCTGCTATGATAAAAAAATATATATATATAAATTACTTTGATACTCATTGACTTTGATGCTGCTTTTCTAACTTCCTCTACCAGCTAGCTGTGCTGTGCTAGTTTACTCACATTTCAAAGCAACATTTGTTACACATTATATGTTTTCAATCATTTATACTGAAAATTAATGAAAATTAAAAAACACGTTCTCTAGATGTCAAATCTCAAATCTGTTATTTTAGATTCACTGACTTACACTAAATTATTGTGGCTAAATTATAACCAGACACTTCTGCTAAGGAAAGATAAACATATTTGACACTGAAAGGTCTAACAAGGTGAAAGCCTCGTGTGTTCTCTCCTGCTGCTAAACACTCAGTGCCACAGGGGGAGGAATTAATGGCCTCTGAAAAAGCTCCTGATGTGGAGGGAGTGTTTAATTTACCGGGCCACCTGAGAGTCAGGTTGAGCACAACCAGAGCCAATCCCCGGTGACTCACTTCCACCTGGAACAGAGCACCAGTGGTTCTGAGCGCCGACGTGTTATATATCGATGTAAAGAACCATCAAAAGCTAAAGAAGTGTGTTGTTTCAGATTCGTCCTTGGCTTTGACATTGGAAACCCTCTGAGGTTTAGTCAGCAGATTTATAGCTCGGCTTCGAGGACATAAATCAAATGTTCACGTCTCATCTGAGACGTCATTTACAACATTTCCTAAGTGAGACCGAAGCCTGGTCATGTGTAGGTGTTTTTTTCTGCTTGTCCTCCTGTGTTTGGCAGTGCCAGATGTTGCGAGTAATGTGGACTTGTCTTCCTGCGTGTCTGTCTCCCATCTCCTGCTGGAGATGCAACCCACTGAGAGAGCTTCTGCTGACACTGATGAGCACCACCCAGCTGTCACTCTCTTTCTCTGGATTTTTGTTCTGTTTGCCACTACTTACTGCCTTTCTTCTTTGTCTCTTCTTCCATGCAGGGGCCTAACAGCAGACATAGTTTAAAAGCATATTCCACCAATGCTGCACAGCTCAATGCACCTCTGTATTCTGCCGTTTTATTAACACTAGCGGCATCAATATTAATGAAATTTCAAGGATTTTTATCTCTTCAAGATCCCACGCATGGAAAGGCATGGAACATTTACTCTAATTAACATAAAATATTGTTTAATTCAAATTAATTCACATTTAAAAGACACAATTCCCTATTCTTTCCGGTTGAGGTAATACATTCTTGTTACAACTAAAAACTAACGATCAGGCCCAAAACCTGGGAGGAGTGATGGACTCTGACCTGAACCTTGCGAGCCACATAAAGACAGTTACAAAGTCGGCCTTCTATCACCTCAAGAACATCTCCAGGATTAGAGGACTAATGTCTCAGCCAGATCTAGAGAAACTCATCCATGTTTTTGTCTTAGTCGCATTGATTACAACAACAGCGTCTTCACAGGCCTGTCCAACAAATCAATCAAACAGCTGCAGCTGATCCAGAACGCTGCTGCTCGGGTTCTCACTAAGATAGAGCACATAACACCAGTTTTAAAGTCCCTCCACTGGCTCCCGGAAGCTCAAAGAATAGACTTTAAAATACTGTTGTTAGTTTACAAATCAGTGAACGGTTTAGCACCACAATACATTAAAAATCTGCTGTTGTTGTATCAACCTTCCAGACCTCTCAGGTCTTCTGGTTCTGGTCTGCTCTGCATCCCCAGAACCAGAATCAAATGAGAAGAAGCAGCATTCAGCATCTATGCACCAAAAATTTGGAAGAAAACTTCCAGAAAACTGCAAGACAGCTGAAACACTGACTTCCTTTTAATCTTGACTAAAAACACACCTGTTTAGAATTGTATTTCAAACGTAATCAATTACAAATTTAATGATTATTATTGGCTGAAAGTGCTGCAAATGTACCTACATATTAAAAATGTTTTATGGCACTTGACTTAATGTAGTTTTTGATTGTTGATTCTATGTTGCATGACTTTGTGTTTTGTGTTTATTATGTGAAGCACTTTGGAAATGCCTTGCTGCTGAAATGTGCTATACAAATAAAATTTCATTTGATTTTGTCAATTGAATGTAAATATTTTTTACATTTAAAATGAACTGTAATTAATGTTTATAGTATTTGTATATGAATCACATACTACAGGAAAGCACAGCAATGGTAGTGAAGGACAATTACTCAGTGACATTTTTCAGAGTTCTATAGGATTTTTTATCATTAATTTTCAATATAACTTGTGTATAATTAATGATATGACGGTTATCAATACTGGTGAAGCACAGAGTGCACAGCCATGTATAAACACACTTCATACCAGTTGTTCTTTAGAATGAACAGTTAAGCATCATGGGTGTTTTTCAAGGAGACTGAGATTGTGCAGGTTGCACATAGAAAGCAAAGATTTGAACCAGTAATATTATTTCTCAGTCAAGCAGAAATACTAACCGCAGCAATATCGGGTCGTTCTGCAGGAGTTAATTAAAATTTTAATAATGTTATTCAAATAAAATTAATTAAATCAAGGCTCACTTCAACGCCCATCAACAGCAGATGTATCAGAAATAGGAATATTTATTTCTCTTTTCACTAACGGTAGGATGGGTCTGGAGTTATACGTTGTACTAAAATGTGCTCCATCTACTTTTTTTGCAGAAATTTGTAGTATCAAGGCCTCTGAGGAATTTACATCTTGTGCCTGAGCCTAAATTTTCCTGTAACCGAACGGGTGATGCAGCAGTTAGGCAGTATTCACTGCGATTACTGAAGCAGCTCTTATGTCTGCAAGACAGAGTTTTGGAAAGCGTGTTACCAGATCACAAACTAATGCACAGTTTCTAAAAGTGATTGAATTCCTGGGGATGAATTCTGATTTTTTACAACCACAGACTTCAGTGAAGTTTTATTGGGGTGTTACATGATGTACCAGTATAAAATCATGGATCATTGTGAACTCAAAGGGAAATTATTCATGATTGTCTCATTTTTATTTCCATAAAATCTGAAAAGTGAGGCCAGCTTTGGTCTGCAGTCTTTGAGACACAGCAGAACCATCTTTTGCTGAAGTAACTGCTGCAAACGTTTCAGTGAATGATGGTTTTGCAGTGACATTCACATCTAGTGACTAAAACTTTGACTGTTCTTGCTTCCAACATTTTTAGTACTGCCACCTCCATGTGTTACTTTGCAAGAAGGTCAGTCAAGGTCGACGTCTAATTGTAGTTTGGCACCACACATAACATTTACAGTATTGGCCAAAAAACTTTGATTTTGATCTTATCAGACAAGAGCACCTTCTTCCACTTCTTTCCTGAAGAATTTGTAGCAAATTAAAAAAAGGTTACTTATGGCTTTATTCTTACAAAATCAAACTTGTACAGAAGTAATAGTTGTTGTGGAGCTTCATAGCTGTTTCTCTTATGAATGATTTACTTGCCCAACCTCTAAGTTTAGGTACATGTCTTGGAAAGATGATGCACAGAGCTCAGAGAGATGTTCAAATTTTAAAACACCTGTTTTTTTTGTTTGTTTTTTTTTTTTTTTGCTTTAATCAAACTCTACTTTGTTTACCTAGAAAGTCCAGTTTGTTTGGGTGGAATTGTAAATGTGCAACTGAACTCTGACGTAGACCAAAAAAGTGAATTTTGGTGCGGTTCGAATACAGATGTGACTGTAGAGCGCTCTAACAGTAGGAAAAAAACTACACCAAAGGCATTTTGAGAAAATATAACCAAAACAAATTCACGAGTCTAGAGCTAGAGGGAAAAACTGTTTGTGTTCTTTTACCAACAAAAATGAAATCCTACAACCGCTGAAATCTGACGCCACTCCATTTTTGTTAATAGGAAGTTGTACTCTTGTCTTCTTTGCAAGTTTTCATGTAATTTCATGTAATTTCCTAATTGAATGACCACATAAGAGATCATGATCTAATTACTGGCTTGAATCCCAATAAGATGCTTCATATATATCTAACAAATCTGTATTTGAAACAATGCCAAGGACATTTTAAACTAGAGTAAGGTCAGAGGGAACAGAAAGAAGCAACTATTAAAGTTCCTACAGTAATTTATCATACAGGTTCATTAAAGCTAAAAGGTAAAGGGAAGATGGAGTAGATGGAGATCTCTCCTTGTGAGTCTAATATTACGGCAGCATTTGTAATAAGAGTTCTGCCAATAATGAAAACAAAAGCTAAAACTGTCCCAACAATCTTCTTACATAGTAAATCCACAGAGATAATGTCAACGTGATGTATGATTCTGTGTTTGCTGTTTAAAACAGTGACAGACTGAGTTAGAGAGAATGATAACAGAACATAAAACAGTCCAAGACTTACTACTGTCCTCTGTGGAGGAAGAAAAGGTGATGATTGTGCATTTTCCCCCTGATCAGTCCCTCTTTGATGGGTTGTTAAGTGCAATCAAGAGACCATATTTTTCTTCGCCTTTCCAGGCTATTAATTAGAGAAGAAATGCTAACAAAATGAAATGTAAGTCATCTCAGAAGAAGCTGATAACCATAACCATAAACAGTTAACTAATCAAAGCTTTTAAATCTGCAGTGACAAGAAGTACTGGTGTGTAAATGACATCATGTAAGCTCTACAGAGAATAAACTTAAAATCCTGTGGGAGCACTTCTAACTGAAAATTCTCCCTTCGACGTGGAGAATGTAGCCTGTCACATCAGATTAAATCGCAGCGACTGTGAACGCACCGCTAACTCTACCTGTCACAGATACGCAGTAATGCAGACATCTTTCAGCGGTTTGAACAGCGGAGCTATGTTGGAAGTCCTTGCCGTGTGATATTTTGGTGCAGAGACTTCACTTTTTTAGCACAAATACAAAATATTACGGTGGAGAAATGTAAAACATATCTCCCTGTCGACAGCAAAAGATGCAAAGACCCTGTTTTGTTGCTGGAGTTTGTCTGTTTTTGTCAGTTTGAAGTTGTTTGTCGTGTGTTCCTCCTCTCTTCTATCACAGCCACCAGAAGCCGCCTCAGCTTTGCTTTTATCCTCTCGCTTTTTTTTTTTTTACAACTGACAGTGTTTCACGAAATGCATTCTCACTGTCAGCTCTCTGTGCTTCAGCTCTGTGCAGGGGCTTTATGTTCAAGAAAAAGTATAACCTAGAAGTTTGCATTCACTGCCACTCGCCCAGTGTATACAGATACGTCTCCTTAATAAATGACTTACTGTGTTGTGTACGTTTGCAATAAACTCAAAGACATTAACAATGAAAACAAGTCATATAATCATTGTAACATGTATTGACATTCTGTATTAGATGGTTTTAGGACTGCAAATTTATTGCAGCCCTACTTGCAGTTGCACAGAGAAGCCATGGTGACTGGAGGAGCTGCAGAGGGAGAGAAGTCAGTCAGAGTTAGCGTAACATAGATACAGCTAAATACTGGGGTATCCTAGGTGGGATCCTATCTGAGACTGCAAAATAATTAGGCCTGGGGAAAGTTTTTTTTTTTTTTTTGGCCTGTGAGAGAGGTTCACCTTCCAGGTTCACCGTCCTGTCTCAACAAACCAGCCAGCGCTGCAGTAAAATGGTGCAAATTCAAGCATTTCTCAGTGTTATAATGGTCCACTCAAAACCTAAATCTGCAGGTCAACTTTTTAAAATCAATGTCAACAGATCATCTCCACGGAATTGCAACAATTTGCAGATTTGTAAAACCTTTGGAAAACATGTAATTTTCCTTCAATTATGAGCAGCTTTGTGGTGGCCTTTTGAAATCATCACCACCAAATAAGCTAAAATTTGTACTTTTAATAGGAGGAAATGTGGAAAGAATAATTTTGCAAGCTAGTGTAAAGCCCTGACACTTAACGTGGGGGACATTGTTTCTGACCCTGACTCCATCAGGCTGCACACTCAGCAGTTCTGGAACAAAGAGGAAGGAAAGCTGCACAACGCAGTGATTAATTCAGCCCTGAAGAAGATCTTCAGGGGGTAAAATGGTGAGCCATTAACATATATCTAATGATAAAATTATAAACCCTCGGGGAATTTTGTCAATTTTTTAAAAGCTGAATAGAAATTCAATGCATGACTTGTGGCGTCCTCTGAGTCTAATGAGCACTCACAGCAAATGAAGTGACGGAAAATTAGTCTGTTTCTGACAATGACCTCTCCAGAGTTAGGCTTGCGCATACAGGAGCACCTTGGACTCCGGCCTCAGCCTACCTTGATGAGTTTGCACCTGATCTGCGCAGAGACCATGTGGCTGTTCCGCAGGTTCCCCACGCGGAACATGAGGCACAACTTTCCGTCCCGCTGCGAAATGACCGCGTCCTGGCTGAACATGAGCGTCTCCGCGCGCTTCTTCGGCTGCGACATCTTAATGAACATGCAGCCGATGAGGAAGGCGTCCACGATGGAGCCCAGCAGGGACTGGAAGAGGAAGAGGATGATGCCCTCCGGGCACTTTTCGGTGATGTAGCGGGAGCCGTAGCCGATTGTCGCCTCGGTCTCGATGAAGAACAGGAACGCGGAGGGAAAGTTGTAGACATTGGCGACGCACGGCGTGTAGGATGGGTCGTGGCCGGTGTTGCTCAGATCCCCGCGGATATACGCGATCACCCACCACATAGAAGCCATGACCAGCCACGCCACCGTGTAGGTGAGGATGAAGATGAGCAGGTTCCACCGCCACTTGAGATCCACCAGCGTGGTGAAGAGGTCGGACAGGTACCTGCTGGTCTCCCCGCCAAGGTTACCGTGCTGGACGTTGCAGCGGCCGTTCTTTTCCACGAAGCGCTGCCGCTTCCTCTTCACCGGCGCAGAAAAAGTCATGCTACTGCTGGTGTTCACTACCTGATAGTCCTCGCCGAATTTCCTCCGTAGAGCCGACATCGTGCCACTCGCCTAACTGAAGACACCGGGCTTCTCCCGGTGCAGGACTGGGCTTTTTGCGTAACTTTTCGTCCTCCGTGCCCAAACCCTGGCAGCACCATCCAGCGCGCTACTCTCGCATCCTGTGAGGTGGAGATGCGCCTCTCTTCTGTAAATTTAAACGTAAGCGAGCAGCGATTCTGCGCAATGCATGATCCAGGCTCTCCTTTTTACGCAGAGGTCTCTTCCAAGTGCCAACTTTGTGTTTCTTCCTCCTCCTAGGGAAGAGCTTAGAACTGAAAACCAAAGCTGTGTGTGGTATTCAATACAGTTCCAGTGAGCAAGAGGAACAGTTTAGTGCGCATGGCACAGCGGTGTTCGAGTGGCATCCTTTTCTTATTCACCTTCAACCATTCAGAAACTAAAAGTAGTGCGCAGAAAATTTACGTAGGGCTTTTTCATTTATGCATTTATTTTATTTTATTTTATTATATCCAGCAGATAAATTCAGGCTCCTGCATAACAAAGAAATTACAGCTTACAGTCGCCAGCTACCTATTTACGGCTGTTTAGCATCCCCTAGTGGTGGTGCAGCAGAAGTAAACCTGAAGCAATTGCTTAAAAAAAGGGCTGTTGAAAAGTGAGAAATACTTATTATCAGAAAATAAACTAGTTTTCCTGTCACGGCATTCTTCAAATAAAATTTGGAGTTAAAATGATGGTTTTGATTTTTTTTTTTTTTTTTACTCAGTGTCTGTTTTTTGTTGTTGTTGTTTTTGCATCACACTTCTGGGAAATCATCAAGGATATGGAGTTTTGCTGCATCGGTGTATTGTTTTTGATTGTTTCAGATCCAACACTGATATGAAACATTATTAATCTACAATAAAAGAGGAAAAAAAACAAGAGAATGAATCAGGAGAAATATTAAACTCCTGATTCAACAACAAGATGCAATTATATTTTGCTTAAAGTTACAGTTATTACTTTTTTCAAGCATTTAAAAAGTGATTATATGAATGTATTTAGCAAGCTACAAAACTGACATTATACTTTCAGACATTTAGATGTTCTGGATGAATGAAGAAGCCACTCCTGAAATTCCACACCCATGAACTCAAGATAGCCTTGTTTGCATAATGCAATATAATTACACTATTAATGTAGTGTAATAACATGTCTTTGTCGTTATGGTTTTACACATGACTCTTTACAAGCCAGGGAAATCTGATGGAAAATTAAGTTCACCCTGCAAAGGTTATCGGCCTATCTTATGAACACAGGCAAGGGGCAATTTTTTCTTCCATGCTCTCTCAGTATGACTATAAACAGTGTGAATCACGAATCAGTGAGACATTTAAGAGGGCTTTTATGTTTTCTCACTAAAATTTTTTAAAGGAAAGACTTAATTTAAACTAAACTAAGAAACCTAGTCATACTACTAATGGAGAATTTAAAAATATTATTTTTAAACCAAGTCAAAGAATTATGGAAACAGGTAATATGGAGGAAAGAATGTTAAAAACCATGTTTAAACTTTACTTGCATTTCTAAGTTGTTAGTTTTTCAGTTTTGAGTGGCGTTTGCAGTGCGAAAGTCAAGACTGAAAAAGTGGCATGTTACTTTTAACTATTTTTAAGAAACAAGTTGGGCAAAGTGACAGTCATGCAAAAGCTTCGTCATTTTGATATGTCGCACTGACATGCAGCTATAGGTTTCGTCTAATTTGCATTCTTCTAAATTACTTATTTGACACAATTAAATGTATGTTCATAAAATTGCATCCTAACAGTAAGAAGGAGAGTAAAAAAAATGCAAAAATTAACAAATAAATAGGGAAAGATATTTGGGAAGTGGTGGAAGTGGAGGGAAGACATACCAAAGGGGTTTAGAGTTTTATTTTCCAGAGAAGACCAGGAAAATGAAATATTACAAAATCTATCTTAAGAAGACAAACAAAATGTTGTAAAAATGAAAGAAAATGTGAATTATTTATTCTAATATATTGTAGTTACTTCATTAATAAAATTGTTACACTTTTACAAACAGTATCTACCATTTTACCAAGCTTTTTTTTAAACAATAAACCACTGAGACATGCTTTCATAACTTTAACACATCTTATTTTTTCCTGAGAAACTGAGTTAACTCCCTTTGAGTTAATTTGAGAACAAAACTGAGCTGAATAGTTACAAAAATGGACGCAGTTTATCTGATTTCACCATACCAGACTGAAAAAGTCTTAAAAAGAAGACACATTTATGGAGTATTAAATCTTAAATTGTCTCTGTGTGTATCAAACTGTTCAGGAAACACCTCAGACCTCCACAGCCTTCGCCTGTCTCCTCTCACGACCCGTCCTCTGCACCCATAATTCCCCGCTCCGGGACAAGATGGAAGAAAGCAGCGACCGCCGGAGAACAATGTTATGGCAATAAAACCCCCTTAGCGGCGAATACGGAGAGAATATAGGCACGTTTGAAACCAGCTGCGGTCATGTGTAGGTGAGTGGGAGGCTAAACTGAATTTTGTTTGCGTCGAGCGTGGCGCTTTTGTCGAGATTTAGGCGAACAATTGCGTGGCTAAAGCGCAAACAGGAGATGCGCGGAGTCGCAGCATCATTGTTTCTGTTGCATGGGCCCTAATGCGGCTTTCAGACGGGGCAGCTAAGGAGCTAACCTGCTAGCTCGTGGCGGCTTGATTGTTATAAACACAACTCCCTCTTGGCGAAGTGAGTAGTATTTTTTCTGCTCGGTGTTTTAGAGCTCAAAGCTACTCGGAGCCCAATCGGTAATGAATATTTCGCTGATTGGGGCTTGGTTGAATTTATCCGCTGGTAATTGCAGCTAAAGTTAGCTATCAATAAATAGAGCGCCAGGGCTGCTCGCAGCCAGACAGATTTGATTTCACGGGCGTCATCAAAGCTGGGGAATTGGAGAATGAGCAATACGTGCCGCAGACATAACTTCAAAGCAAACGTGCTATTTCACTCATTTTTTGTTTTTAAATAATCCACTATTTTCCCCGGTTTGTTCAGCTAAATCTCTGACTTGTATACTATTGTTTTCTCAATGAGTTAATAAACGTGTGAATCGCATTAAATCACGAGTCCTATTTTAGCTTTAGCTAGCTTAGTAGCAACTCCAGGTAACGTGCTAAAACGTTACAAAGGTGATTTTAAATAGATTTTATAGACTACATTTGGATATATATGTGGGGTATTCATTTTTAAAGTTAGCCCTGATTTATTTGAACGATATAAATTGGTTTTGGGGGGCGACTGGATTAGGTTGTTTTGGTTGAGGACGCAGAGATGCTTCGATTGTCTCATTGTAGCACGCTAACTATGCTAACTAGCTGGCTAACTATTATGCATCACAAAAGCTCATCCGTGTTCTGTTCAATGCGGCGTCGCGAAGCCAAATGGTCACCAGGTCTAGACTAAACAATAAATTCTTACGTCGACTTTTCCTCTACGTGTTTAGCTACACGTCTCACTCAAAGCGACCGGAATGCGCCTGTCTAATATAACCCCGAAATGTATCCCCAGATTTGACCTAAATATTGTTTTGTTTCAGGGCAAGTGGGCTGAAGCGATTAAACTGCGAGCGTTATCTACCCAGCCTCTTGAGCCTTTGTATCTATGTATAATTTTCAGTTCCAAGTGACTTTGTTTTTGCTTCTTTCAAAGTGCGAAAACAAAAGGGACGCGTGTTTTAAAAGCTGTATCGATACCAATCGTATTTTGGCTGCGGTCCAAATCACATGTGCTGAATCTGAAACAATACCAGGTGGATTAAACGACCCAGATGTTTTATCTTGCTCCATGTCATTTTAATTAACAGTTTAATCATAAATGCATATGTATTTATTCTCTGTGCAAAGCTTGACATTTTATACTGTCACATAATGTAGATAGATTGAGCCACTTCCATATCATACGGTTATGTGATGTCTTATTTCATAAAGTGTTTTAACATTCACATTCTATGTATTTACAAAAACAAACAATACATTTGTAAATATTTTTGAGGTTTTGTGTTTTTTCCATTGTGATGATCAAGCCTGGTTATCTATTATTTACACAATGAAGGTCATGCAACCGATCAGCACCTTTATTTTTATTTTCATCCATATTTTAAATTAAGAGCTGCACAATAAATTAAACTGACATCATAGTGTCGAGTTATGTGACTATCGCTGTTGCAAAGGGTTACTTGTTAGGCAACCATATTTAATTTCATTTATTATATCCTTTCCAATAATATCCCTGGCCAGTTAAATTGACTTCACTGCTTTGGAAACCTAAGCCAGAAGAAGGATGAGGTCTATATTGGTTACATTGCAATAATACACAGTCATAGTAATACTCTAATTACGTTATTATGTTGCCTGAGACTTCTTATTTAGAGATCTATGGCTAATTTTCAATCTATGGTTTTTATTTCTCTTTAACTCACCAATAAAACATTTGTTATTAATAACTAAAATCTATCTCGCCTCCTGTGAGTGGCTATTATTAAAAAGAGCGTGAAACACAACATTTTAAAGAGAAAACTGGACATTTTAGGTTACTTGAGCCTCTTATTAGCAGTTAGCATGAGTGGCTTTAATAAAACAGCAGTCTGTGTGTAGTCCTTAGTGAGCCATGCCTTAACTTTGCTCTATTATTAATTTCTTACTCTCTCTTGCAAACAAGAACTGACCACAAAGTGTTCAAAAAAAACACAAAAAAAGATTTTCTGTTTTTAAAAGCTTCTTGCATCTCTGTTTGATAAAATTTCAGATTTTTTTTTTATCCCCTTGACTGTTTGGTTAGGGTGCTAATCAAGGTCTAATCAAGAGCTAATCAAGAGCTAATCAAGCTGAAAATCATCTTATTTAAATCACTAGCTGGTGTCGTGGTGCGACTCTAATTGTGACTTTTCTCCAGTCATGAGCGGGTGTGTTTCAGTGGCCTATGCAAAAGAGATTGCAGTTGAGATTAGAAGTTAAAAATATCTAAGATATTTTTGTCACAAAGGTGTTTTGACTTTTTGTAATCTTTTCACAAAAACAGAGGACTTTATGTTTTACGTATTTCCTTTATGTACTTGCAATTTGAGGTGCTAAGTGCTCAGCTAATCAAAATGTTGCTTTGTTTTGTCATATCTATTTTTATTAAGTCTTTTTTTAAATTTTTTTTTGTCTGTCATCTTTTACAGAATGGTCTCCTACTGCCTGCCTCACTAGATTATTTGCCCTCCCTTTCCCCCTGGCACAAAGTAAATCAACACCATGAGTATTATTCAAGACAAGTTAGGCAATGAGTTTCTGCGCAATGGAGGCATGGACCCCAATTTCGCTCCAGGTATGCTTATGTTCAGCCACTTGCCACCGGTCACCAGCTTCACGCGGCTGGCATCGCAGTCGGTCATCGGCGAGCTTCCCCAAGAGATGATCCTGAAAAAAGAGCGAGATTCGCCGCCGGAACACCAAGGCCCCATCGCTGCC